TCGAAGCAAACTTCATCGGAATCCTTTTTTCTGATTGGTTGCAGCGCGTCGTGCGATGAAAATCGGATGCAGTGTGAATCCAGCATATGTGTTCCCGCTTTATACTAGAGCTGCGTTCCGTTTCACGCATGATGTGCATAATGCATCATTTATTCTTGTTTAATATTCGGTGAATATCAAGGATAAAAGATGCATCATGAGGCCTGTTCTTTTTGGCTGAACTTTTGCACCAGTTCATCTTTCTTTTTCTTCTTTCCTCCTGAAGAGAAAAGGAAGAAAGATGAACCGGTGCAAAAGTTCAGCCAAAAAGAACAGGCTTATGCGCATCGTGCGCACCATGCGTGAAATGGAACGCAACCTAGATTTGTTCGCGTCGCATATTCCAACATGTTCCAATATGCTCCTATGATAGCTCTTACTCACTCCAACGTGCTTGGTAGAATGAGTAGGAGCTATGGTAGGAGCATGTTGGAACATACTGGAGCTTGCGACGCGACAAACCTACCGTGACGATGCAAGTGTGCAGGTGCCATTATACTTCAGTTATCTCTTATCTCCAACCGCTGGTTAGACATTTTGCGCGTTTCTAAGAAAATCCGAGGCAGCCGGAGTTCGGGGAATTCCATTATCTACTTATACATACTTATTATATGTGCTTTGAAAGCTTCGAGAACATTCGAGGATAAACTGTCGTTTGACGAAATTGTAATACGAGACGGTGAAACTTGGTATCGACACAATTGGAACATCGTAGCTGTTACCCAGTGGGGCCAGCAAATGATTGTGATTTTGCCACGCAACATATTTTAGGAGCTTCATCCGATATTGAATTAAGACAAAATGACGAAGAAAGGTACGTGCCAGTTGTTACATGCGATCGTTTCAGAGCAAGTTTCTTCATTTTTCCTACAAATATGTCGATAATTGATTACTTCCATGATAATAATTCAACTCATTATCCGAATTATTTGTTTGTATTTCGAAAAATAAGTCACAATATATAGAATAGAAATAAATAAAAAATAAGTATATAATCAATCTACGTATTATAGTTCTCACAATATGCAATCTAATTGTATTTTCGATTTGCTGACTCGACTCGACTTCTCGTCGAGGGTACGTTCTTTTTAATTGTAAAAAAAAGAGCTAAACTGTGCAAGAAATATAGCTAAAAAGAAGATCATTGATTTGGAGTCAGGATGAGTCAGCAAATTGAAAACGTTACGAGATTGAATTTCTATATTCCAAAGTTATAACAACTTCAAGGTTATTATACAATAAAAATAAACTATACTAAAAGTGTAACATATTCACACTAGCTACGTTCCACTTTGTACTCACAATGTTTTCAGATCATTTTATCCTTGGTTATTAAATATTATACAAAGATAAATGTTACTCGCGAACATTGCAACTTGCAAGTATCAAATAAAACGCACTCACTGTTGCTGTGCACACTTGCGTTTACAGAATGAAATCAAGATGGCATTAGGTTCTTTACAACTGAAGTTTTTGTATAATTTATTTTTACTTTTTTTTTCTTTAACGTTCCTATTTTAATAAACCTATTTTATTGTACAGATAGCATAATATAGCTACAAGGACTTATGTATGTATTTATTAAAAATAATTATTTAATTAAATTAGCTAAAAGCTTCAAGTACATAAATGTTATGTATATATTACAATTTTTTAAAACTTCATTTTTGTATCTATTTAAATACAAAGAGATATATATTTAATAAAGAATAATACAAATTATAGGAAAGAAGAAGAAGCAGGCAGCAGCTGCCTCAAAACAGACTTCTGATAAGAAATCACAAGAACAGTCGCAGCAACAACAAGAGGAACAGGAACAAACTTCGCCAGAAGCATTACCTAGTTCATCAACGCAACAAAAGGCAACCAAAGGTCCGAAATTTCAACAAATTAAGATAGCATAAAGTTTTCTCTAGTTAAACTTTTTATATAATTTTTCTTTACTTTTTTTCCTCTAATATTCATATTTTAATAAATCTATTTCATTGTAAGTGCAGAAAGTATAACATAATGTAACTACAAGGACTTATGTATTTATTTATTTAAAAGTAATTAATTAAATCATGGTGATCGTGTAACTTTTTCTTTAAAGCAGATACGTGAAAAGTAAAAATTTTTTATGTGTGTACATGCATATACACACATACATACAAAAAATTTTCACATTTCTGCCCTAGAGAAAAAATTACATGATCATTACTCTGAACTGTCCTGTATTCTATAACTCGTTATGTAATCATTATGTGCTCATAATGACAGTTGCATAAATATTTTATATAGTAAAAAAGCTATGCAACTATTGTTATAACGAGTCACAGAATACAGGGGCAGGACCGGATACTTTTGACTTGAAATTAAAATATGTCCGAGTATTCATGCCTGTTACCGTTCCTACTTCTTACTTCATTGCTGTTTTATTATAGCGTATGACGCTCGTTATCAGAGACGACACTAGTCTGAAATTGTTAAGTTTTTGACCTGTGTCATTCATTGTGTTTAAAAGTATTCTGTTACTAATATTATAAGATATAAAATATATATAAAATATATTTTTATAGTTAAATGTATTATGAATAATATTATCTTATAATATTAGTAGCAGAATATTTTTAAACATAATAAATGACATAAATCAAAAACTTTTAACAATTTCAGACTAATGTTGCCCCTGAGACCGAATATTACCCACTATGATGAAACAGTAATGAAGTAGGAGTAGAACGGTGATAAGCATGAATACCGACACATTTCTATTTCAAGCCAATAACAAAGAGGATTGAATAGAGTGGAAGGTCCTTATGAGATTGTAATATATTTTCTGTATACTGCTATCAGCGCTCTATCTTTTGAGTCTGATGCTGCATTTATCAATAGTAATAGCGATGAAAAAATTAACGAAGCCGAACGAGATTCGGAATATTAGTTGTAGTGAAGTATTCGTGGCCGTACAGCTTTAGGGCGA